TACTTCTAGGATTAATCACAAGCAAGTTTAAGAAGTGATTCATTTTACGAGGACTTGAGCAGAATCTCTTCCATGGTTGTTCATTCACTATTTTAAAAATAACCCTGAAATGATGATGGTTATTGGAGAAAATAACATTTCCCGAATAGACCAAGAGAACATTTAAAAAGAACGAGTCTAAGTTACTAAGTCACTTAACTTTTAGATTTGATGAGAATTTTAAGCTTGTATAGTAGTGAAGGGAACACGGGTATGGACGATCGGAAATAATTGACACGCAATTACAGAGCTTTTCAATAAAAACTGAGAACTTTATTTTAAATCGTTAGTTTGCAAAATGTCCTCCAATCGTCTCAAAATACCTCAGATTTCATTGTTCTTACATTTTCATACAAATTGCATTCTATTCCCGCTCTTGCTTTCTTAATCTTCCCTCATCTTCTGCTGCCAGATATTACATTCTTGACTCGCATAATATACTACTTATATCAATATAAGTAGCACGCACCACAGGACTACCTCTGTTACTGTACAATTGTTTTTTAATTTATTGTCCGGATGATTGATGATGTAGTGAATTTGAAGATATTGTTTATATTAATGATTTGAACAGACACTTTACAGAAAAAGAATAAATGTAAAACAACGAAATAACTAAAGATTCTAACTTCTAGAGACTTTCATAAATGTTATGAATAAGAGTTAGAACAAGTATTTTACAAGTGGATAAGAATAACACTTTCTAAATTCGGCGAACTTGAGTTTTTGTTACTTCAGTTGACATATGTACTGAATATGCTTTGTCAGTAAAAACTTTAAGTTTCATGTTAGACGACTCTGAAGCGTGTCCAAGAACTTTCTGTGAATTTTAAGACTTCCTTGCTTACTTACACCTGTTACTTCCAATAGATCATAGGCCGCCAACCAGCATTCTCAAACCCACTCTGCTCTAAGCCTGCTTTTCTAGTTCTATTCAATTGTTGTTTATTTATCTCATGTCTGTCTCCATTTCTCCACATAATGTGTTCTTTGATCCTCCTCTCCTCCTTTGGTATTGAGGATTCCATATGAGGGATTGCCTTGTGACACAGTTGTGTGCTTTCCCCAATGTGTGTCCTATCCACTTCCAGCGCTTCTTCCTGATTAATTCCTCCTTTGTAATCTGGTCAATTCTCTCCCATAGTAGATTGTTGTTGCTGATAGTATCTGGCCAACGGATCTGAAGTGTTCTGTGTAGACAACTGTTAATAAACACCCGTATCTTCTGGATGGTGGCTTTCGTAGTTCTCCAGGTTTCCGCCCCTTACAGTAGAATACTCTTGACATTTGTATTGAAAATTCTGACGTTGGTGGTGGTTGAAAGACAGTTGTTTTGAGTTCCAGATATTCTCCAGTTGTAAATATGCTGCTACTGTTTTGCTGATCCGTGCTTTCACATGTGGATCAGATCCACCGTGTTCATCAATGATGCTGCCCAGATATGTGAAGGTTTTCACCTCCTCCAAATCTTCTCCGTCAAGTGTGATTCGATTGTTGCATACTGTGTTGTATCAGAGAATCTTGCTTTTCCTTTTGTGAATGTTGAGACCTACTCCTACTGAGGCTGCTGCTACACTGGTTGTCTTCTCGTACATTTGTTGTTGCATGTGTGATCGAACAGCCAGATCATCTGCAAAGTCTATATCGTTCAGCTGTATCCTAGCTGTCCTCTGTATCTCATGCTTCCGCTCAGATTTTGACGTCTTCATAATCTAGTCGATCACCAAGAGTAAGAGAAAGAATAAGAGTAAGACATCAGTGTCTTGTTCTGTTGAAGGGTCTTGATTAAGAACACCGGTTCCACAAAATTTTAAAAACATACTGTTCAATCAAATTTCTCATTGATGTTATTCTTTCTCAATATTATAATATTTGTATGTATTTTTCTTTTTCTTTTAGCGTGCATTCATTGAAGAATTATGTAATGAAGATTATAATCTAAATAACACATTTTCTATGAATACAGCATTAGATAAACAAGAAAATTTCGATAAAACAAATGATCAAAATGTTATTGAAATATATGAAGAACAGGAGAATACAAACGAATCATAAACAGGGATGTGAATAATAATGTTTCTTCAACATTCTATTATGCCATGATGATGATGCTGATGAGTAAATCAACCGGTGTTGATAATACAGTTATGATATTCTGATTAAATTATCAAGACCGATGAAATATCAATCATTTATGTAATAAAATTAATTCGCTGACTGTCATTGTTTTATCACCACTATGGGGTAGTATACAAGATGATTAGTCTTGATAGTTTAGCTCCTCGGTAAAACAGAATTTATCTAAAACACAAAGTAACTGTCTGAGAAAGATTGATTTTAGTTCACTTGTACGGGTTTAAATCTTCCCGTTGTTTATGTTATGGACTGTAATTGATCAGTCTCTTTTGGTATATGTACTTTTTGAGCAGATTGTCTCGATTGAGACAACAGTCACAGGCATTTTGAAGCAGAGAAAGACTGTGTTTAGTAGAGGAATTTAAAACGCGACTTTTGTCTTATTTGGAAATTGTCAGCTGGGTGACTCTGGATCACACTAGGACTTGAACTAATAATGATATGAACATTATATCCTTTGAGTAAGTTAGTGGCCATCTGGACTCAGTAGATAATTTATTGACGTTTTATGTATTTTCAGCGAAAATTAATGGGCTCGAGTACAGGTGTTGTGGTATATGCTACTTATACTGACAGATATAAGTAGTGTAAAGGAGCAATTGGAAGTGGAATGTCTATCAGCAGAAGATTGAAATGAAGAAAGCAGAAAGGAAATCGGAGAGCAATCGAAATAACAACAGAGTTAGAGGAACAGTGTAGTATGTGAAGGACAACTCAAAGAAGCTGTACAAGTGATGCATTTAATGTAGAATTTTCATATTTTATTAATCCACTGTGTGAATTGACTTTACACTTATGATTTACCGCTCACTACAGTGTGAACGTCAGTGCTGGTATATAGGCACATGCAACTGACGAGTCCCATATATGACAAAACGTGCGTCTTGAGTCTTGCTAGACACTACCAAAACGTTGCTTAACAAATCCGATCTGGACAACACAATGTATATATACATAATTATTTCTAATCTTTTGGATAATGGGTTTGATTACTCGTACGGATAGCACATTTCAAAAGTACTTGTCACTTTCCCTTGAGTTTTCAGTGTCAGCCAAGAGGTTATTTATTGGGCTACTAAATTAGGTCTCAACGAAAGGTTTATACACACTATTATGGTTAATTCTTTCCATTCCCATACTTTAAGTCAACTACATTATATATTGTTTGTGAATATTAAATTACTATGAAAATAAATAAAAAACCGATCACTTTGTAAGTGTAACACAGATGACATGATCATATCTTCTACTTGAAAAAAAAGAAGAACCTATACAATCCCGATACGACATGTTGTTATTTCAAAGTTTTAAAGTAATTCACAATAACTGTTCATTTCTACATCAAACTTCATTGTCACCTAGTGTTTAAGAAAACCATCTAACGATAAGTTTGCAGCACTGTTAAAAATAACACTGGGCTCATTTCTAAATTTCATTTCACTATTTATGCATCATGCATAGATTATCCATGAAATTGGTATATAGTTATTATTATAATTTTAGAAGCAGAGATGTACCTGCATCCTGGAGTCGATGTTCACTCTGGGACCCGAACCCAATGTTGTTTGTTTCAAACGTCATCGCGTTATTCACTTGGTCACTGAATCCAGACGAAGCTTAATTCATTTGTACTAGTCGTCTGAATTTTCTCATTGCTATTCAATTTTGAAATTGATCAGTCTCTTTTTTTGCATGTATCCATCATCTCCAGATTGTTTCGATATATTGCCATTAATTCATTAGTATTATAAGCAGGTACATCCATCTGACAAGTCCAAAATTAGACAAAATGCACGTCATAGATTCCACTGATAGCCATCATGCATCTCTGCCTATAATGCTTGTGACTTAATGGCAATATTGAAGCAATCTGCAGATGATGGATACATGCAAAAAAGAAACTGATCAATTGCAAAATTAAATAGCAAAGAAGTTGTCCCGATTCGAAGATCTATTTTAACTTTATTTATGTTATGTACGTTAAATCATTGTTTCTAATTATACAGATTATCATAATTTGTAAATAGACTATTTACAACTGATGAGATGTGGTTAGATATAAATATGAATTCATTTTCACTTTTGAAAGTTTGTTGTGAATATTTTAATGGAAAAATGAAAAATATTTTCCATTTAACGCAAGTCTATAGGTTGATAGATAGCATAGAATTGTGTTTCAAACGAACCAATTGTTTTTGATGGAGTTTTGTTCTTATGGTCGTGGAGCTCTCGTCGTTCTTCTGAAAAACATCATCAGTACAAACTTCAGATAAACTTCTAACTCCGCTACCAAACCATCCAGTTCAGAGAACAAAATTCCATCAAAATCAATCCACCTGAGGTACAAATCTTCGCCACCGTATCAGAACCAACTGTTGTATATCCATCAAGTAACGATTAGTAATGATGTAGGCTCAATAATAGATTTTAAGATTAATTGAGATTCTTTTCAGTGACACAGTGATGAACAACATCTCACTTTGAAAATACAATAAATAAATAAAAATGAAATTCAGAAAGAAAATATCATTATAGAGTTGATGAGTAAATTGTATACTGCTTGAGCATAAAAATATGAACCTTTGTATTTCAACTCAATAGTCTCTTAATGTGAAGCACTCATTGAATAACTTGAGAATCCTCAATTTGATCGGTATCACGATTGTAGTTAAACACTGATGACAATTTCCGTAATACGACGAATCGTTTATCAAATCCTGTCCAGATTTTATTAGTCGTTCAGTTGATACTGAATAATGATCAAGATCCCCCTAATTTAGGTTTTGTTACATTAGTACAGATCATAAGGAAAAATCTAGAGAAAATTCAGTACAATACATAACAATGTATTTACACTAGATTTACATAACTCTTACAATCATGTTAACTATTGGCTTTAAAGTATATTAACATCATTCTTATGTGTTCAATTTAATCATTATACCATCGGTTATTCTTTAATATTATTTTGATCCAATTTTTGAATTATGTATGATCTGTAAATCAAAGAAATTCAAATTATTATTTTATGTATTCATCTAATTTAAAACAACATAGATATAAGCGAACAATATTGTTTTTGATTAGATTCTCATCATGCTTTACTCTAATAAACAGTATTATATATACATAAAATAACTAAGCCTTTATTATTCTTATCACAATTATTACCTGAAGTTTATGCTGATGCTGATGTCGTTCAGAGAAACGATGAAACCTCCACGACCAAACTATCCACCTCAGAGAACTAAAATCCATCAAAAATAACTAATACACCTGTTATCACATTACCGATTTGTACTTACTCACTTATTATGTTTAGTTATGCAATCTATTCCACTGTTATTATTGACTCTATCAGTCAAGAGACGATTGTTCTGCATGGCAATTCGTTTCGTTCTACTTTATAGCTGTGAAACGTGGCCATTAAGAGTAGAAGATACGCGTAAGCTACTAGTATTTGACCACAGATGCCTTAGAAATATTGCTCGCATCTGTTGGGTAAGTATTAGTGAGGTTAGACGCAGGGTATTACAGAATGATCGTAAATCAGTTGATGAGATTGTGAATATTCATCGACTAAGGTGGTTGGACCACGTGCTACGTATGCTTGAACACCGACTACCAAGACGTGCAATGCTGAATAGTGTTGGGCATGGTTGGAAGAAAGTTAGGGGGCGACCAAACCAAAACGTGGCATCGGTCCACAAAGTCACTAACTTCTAGTTTTAGCCATGTTGGTAGATGCAGACTACTTGATTGGGATCCGCGTGATTATAGTAACCAATGGTTTGAGACTCTGAATGATATGGCTCAGAGTCGATCAAAATAGTGTCGATTTATACACTCTCTGTCTTCCCTTAAAATAAGAGATTAAAATTGCTTTATATCTTTCTTTCTACGAACTAATTCTTTCTTCCTATACTATATCCTTATTGCAATCTTTTATCTATATATGATGATTGAATCGAAATACAATATTATTCGTCTATATCTGTGTTGTTCTAAATTATAATATGCGAAAATTTTTCAATAATTCATTTAATTTCATCAAACTTACATACACATTTTCACTGTTTTTTCTTGAATTTTTATACGAAAATTATGAAATAATTCTTTCCAATTTAATTGTTCAAATTTTTCTATTCTAATATGTACATATGTAAAAAATAAAAAAAGAGATTACATGATAATAACGATTGATTTCACTGGTTGAAATCATGAGTCAATTGAAGCTAGACCAGCAAGGAAGCACTTGATGGCTGTTTCGTCCCAGTACGACACTCCTCAGCAGTGCGCATCAACAATCCCGCACCCCGCGAGATTCGAAGTCAGTGGTGTACGATGGCGCAACTTCGTGGATTGGTTGAAGTTAGACGTTAACACCATCGGATGCCGGCTCAGTGATCTAGTTGATTAAGCGCCTGGCGCGAGGCTGATAGGTCCTGGGTTCGAATCTCGCAGGGTGTGGGATTGTGGGTGCGCACTGCTGAGGAGTCACATACTAAGACGAAACGGTCATCTAGTGCTTCGAGGTTTTCCATGGTGATCTAGCTTTAATTGACTCATGATCTCGATCAGTGAAATTTCTAAAAATCTCCACAAAACCCATTCTGATAATAATAATGTTTGAAATAAAGGTAAAAAAACAAGATAAGTAAACGAAAAACATGACAATGTTACAACTTTTATTTTCAGAAAAAATAAATTAAATCTACGAGTTTATCTATTTATCGAATCATTTATCTACACATTTGTCTAATTCTAATTTGACGAAGTTTTGTTCTCTCAGCTGGATGGTTTAGTCGTGAAGCTTTCATCGTTCTTCTGAACGATATCATCAGCATAAATTTCAGGTAAAAGTGAAGTGTTAGAGTTTTTCGTTCATTAAAAACTTGAACAGCAGAAGACGGCTATTATACGCAGTATGCTTTACATAGTGACATTAAAAAATTGATGTGTGTATCACAATATTTCGGTGATACATTTGCCTCTTCAACTTCTTTAAAGTTGTTAGCTCTTATCTCTTATAACGTATACCAGTCAAACTCTAAATTGTTTAATATTTGGATCATACATACTCCATAATGATAATTTGTCAACAAGAATACTAAATATCCATTTGTATACTTCTTTAACGACAAACTTGGGACAATATTGAAAACACAAGTATTGAAGTTGTAAATTTGAAGCAAATGGAACGTTAAAACTCATGGGGTTGAGTAGATTGTATAGACTATTATCCTTGGATAACATTATTTGATATTTACTTCAATATGTATGTTAGAGTTCTTGATCACAAAAGAAGTATTACCTTAGATCAGTCACCTTCTAATTTTATTCTGTATAAAAGCATACGTATATTGGATGTTTAAACTCATTACACTACGTTCACATTCACCAGCGTACAATTAAATCATTACAGTAGCCATCACTACTGTTATAACGCTCGATTTTACTTTGTCTAATTTTATAACGGTTGGGTTTCCACGCTTACACGTATAGGACCTCAATTTACCTTAAACGATTATTTACACTAGATTCCTCCCACCCGATGTCCATTCTACAGGACGTCAACGCAACTGAGATCAAGAACACGTGATTAGCTTGACCACAACGTAAATATATTTCCACACTAAAACCCGACACAATCCGACAACAATGAACAATCAATAATAAGTGAGTCGTAATAATAACAATAATAATAATAATAAGGACAGGGGAATATATCACTCATTTGACACCTGTCAGACTATCTACATGTCTGATTAAGCAGACAACCAATCATTATCATTCTCGCCAACACATCAACTACCTACCGAAGATGTTCGCATTACTGAAGGTCTTAACTGTATCATTTAACACTGTGTATTAGTCTACGTCACAGGATTGGAAACAAGCCACTCACCTTTTCTCTAGATCTTTAAACTCGTTTGCCAAACATTCAAAGTCATCCTCCATTTTCTTCATGAATGAATGAATGCTAGTATTAACGGTATTGTTTTCATCTGTTTCAAGTAAGCAAGTTTCTTTCAACGATAAAATGGAGTTATCAATCTGATTTTCCTGTAAAATATTTGAAACAATCTCAGGAATACTCGAAAAAACCTGGAAAATAGAAATTCGACCATGTTTGCGGAAAGAGTGCAGTCAGCATTCGTCGTGTAGCATATATTTACTGAACGCGTCTCTTATTTTAAAATAAATAAAGTATCACCTACTTGCCCAGATTTTGATACAACTATACAGTCTACAAATTTTTATAGACGTCTGAAAACATAAACCTCATAAAAGTAGAAATTTTTATTTATGACTCAGTTACTTTTTAGGAATCATGATTCAGTCATAGGGATGAAGCTACTGGCTGCCAAGATCTCTAGACCTAAATGGGTTATATGTTGGTATTAGTTTCCAAGGAATATCTACAGTTTTACGAGTAGTGATGCCTCTAATAATGTTTAAATCAGCATCGGAATTAGTGCTGTTACCGATGAGACAACTGAATTTCTATAGAACTAAATAATTATACTAACTGATTACTGGCTAGTAGCTAGTGTCAAGTGTTGATTGACACGGTAAGCTAATCAGAAGTAGATTGATAAGAAGTTCAATCGATGGCAATCAGAAGTAACCTGAAGGACAAGTGCATTTCATTAGCTAAGAAATCGATTGATTTCCTATGAGGTGGAGTTGCGTATACATAAATGAGTATTTGTACACTTTATGTGGTAGCCCAGTATATTTTTTCGCCCACTTTTGTGCTTTTCCTCAGGCAGTCAGTTGAGGGGATTAGTGTGTAGCACGCCGTGTATCAGTGTTATATTTTAGATACCGCTCGTCACGACATTAATCAGATTCTATCGGCCATGATGCATCGTTGCCGCTTGCTCGAGTAACCTGTTATCGCTGCCTGTATGCAAAGTTCAGTTTTCTACCCATCCTGTTTTCATTGGTGCTAAAACCAATGATCGTACAGCCCGGTGCATGGTATCTTATACAGAAATAAATAATGTATGACCTGGCATAGGCAATCATAGTCTTGAGTTGCCTCACCACAGTGAAGTCAAGGTGATAAGAAGTATAGTAGAGAAATGGCAATAATTATATTGTCAATGATATGATACTCCAATCATTTACAAAGTACCTCTGTTTAAAGCCTTTAATATGTCTGTAAACATCTTGATAATACCAATGTCCTACAAATAATCTTAGAATACAGACTAAATGGATAAATGAAGATCAAGCAGCTGATGAAGAAGCCATGACATTCCTGAGTAGAGGTTGAATGGTGAAATCAATGAGTCAGTGCCTTAGTATTTTTAGACGTCCCTCGTTGTATGTAGTTACTCGATAGATCAGTAAGACCCTAAATTTAATGTACTAAGCCCAAATGACTTAAAAGCCATAATAAATTTTGTTTATGCATAACATGTTTCTATCTTAACTAGTAGTCACCATAGTCTAATAATATACCAAATTCTAGAAGCTAACCTATTTCAACGGAATCATAAAAGGCTTGCAAATGTAAATCAAGCTCTTGAGTATGAATGAGTTTATTCGGAAACAAAGTTTTTTCTAATGCTTTAAGTAATTTAAATATCTAGAGAATAATTTGATGAGAAATAGTAAGTAAGATCAGTTATTACATCAGCGTGAAAAAAACTGTAAATTATTTTCGTTATCTAGACAGTTAAAGCACTTTTATCTACAATTTAGTGGGATCAGAAAGGGTTTACATTGTTTGATCAATAAAAAAAGATGAAAGTACTTTACATACGCTGATGGTATTTGAATACACCAAAATAAATGTTTACATATCACGAATAAGTTAGACGCTTTAACACCTGAGGCGTAACAAAACTAATGAGGCTAGGTACAAAAATTGCGGATTACGGAAATGGGTTAGTTTGAACTTATTTTCAACTTATTAAAAAGGTTGCCACCAATAATTATCTGCTTAAATGATGACACTAAACTCTAATTAAAGATCGGAACTATGATGACGTTTTATGTAGTGTAGTGACAAGCGGTAATATTAAGTTTATATTCATTTCTAAGCGAGTAAACTTAAGCTAGGCTGATTTCAGAAATAGTTTTCTAAGGAATATCATTACCTTTGGGTATGTATTTTTAACTCCAGGTGATCGGCAAACAATTTGATTGTGCATTATTTCCTTACTCCTTGGCAAATTAGGTCCGAGCCAAATCAATAAAGATTCTAGTTCTTTTTTCACTGTTTCGCGGACTTGATCATCCAGCCCTTTTAGGAAAGTCGTTCAAAATAACATACATCTGACATAGAAATTTCACATTATGAAAAAATATTGCACATTATTTCATTCAGGTTTATTTTATTCTGATATTTGAAATGCTTTTATATGTCTCAGATTTGTGTTTAACAACAATTAAAAATCTGTTCACTTTGTTGCGGAGTCGAAATGTTTAAAAAATGGGTATTATTCCGTTTAGATTATGTTAAGGTTGACCGAGCAAGACAAGAACAGTCTTCGATATTAGTCAGCATTAATTGCAACTTTAAACAAGTTAAATATTAAACAATATGGCAGCAAAATTCAGCACCCAGTTTATGGTCAAGTTTTAACTCACTAGTAAGTTACTATTTACTAGCAAAGCAAAAACACTTTGAGCTGGGATATTTTCTGTTTTCTTATTTTATCTTTATAGTGTTACAAAAGATAATTTACCAAGCATGTACACAAACACAATAGACTTCTGTACAGCTTTCTTTGAATGCTTTTCTACTGAGTGATTCATTTATATAAAAAATGTGTTAGAAAGGTGTATGGACAAAGTATGCTGATTTTTCAATTGCACATTGTTTCAAATGGCACACATTTGTAGTTTTACACGCGTCCATATTGAAAGATGTTACTGGTTAGTGTGTTGTCAAAACTCCAAATACCTGTGGCATCTTTACCCTCATCTCTGAAAAAATCTGTAATTATTATAAACAAAGTTTTTCTAAAAATTTTATTAACTTTATCAATAAGAAATCATGGTACGTGTGATATCTATAATAAGTAGTAAATGCCTAAATGTATCCCCGTAAGTAGATCTATGATGTCAGAAACATACAAACTTTAAGTTCATCTACCAAAATATTGATAAATGAAGACACTCAGGACTTCATTCAAATTGTGTAAGTAGCTTGCAACATATTTCCAGGCAATCGATTCCATGTTCTAAGTGAAGGTGTATAAGAAATTATATAAATTATATGGAAATGATGATTTACCTGTGAAGAGTATATCTAATCTAATTCACCTTTCTGACATCCCCATGAAAAGAAAGAACTAGACAATTATAAATATTTTTTCTATTTATAAAATAAGATTCCTTAAGAATGTGTCACATTTTTCATAGCCTATAAAAACAAAGCAAAGATGCGAAAACCTACATTGGTAAAGTAATACGGATATCGGCAGATGAAGTTTGAAACGTGGACTTCTAAAATGAATTATTCGAAACAGAATATCTCTTTTGTAATCATTTAAAGAATGTGTATGATGGTTTATTTCGGATTGAATATATAAATTAGTGTATTGTTTTACATGCCTGTCGTTAACAGTCACGTGTTCAAAAGTTCTTAAGAACTATAACAACACGTTGCCCATGCTATGATCGTAGTTTGCAGTGAATTCAAATATATGGATTGTTGTGGACTGCCCATACAATTTAATTTAAACATTTAAAGAAGTGCTAATTCATGTTTTTTCATTCTTATTTGCTTAGGAGCCCCATACATATGCTTTAATCTAAACTTCTCATACGAAAAATACCTATAGGTTAGACACAAACCTATTAATAAATGTTGGAAAGTTATACTCATCGATTCTACAGTAATTGACAAGAAATAATGATAAATAGAGTTTTTAAGACAAGCTGTATGGCATGCTATGCTTACCCTCTATCTCAGAAGCATTGAATTTCAGCAGGAAGTCAACCTGTAGTAATTGTCACAAAAGCACGGATTGTTACCTGTGATCTTAACAGCTTAAGATTGTTACGAATGAGAGTACACTGGTTTCTAAGCTCATAAAATTAAGCCTTTAGGTGTTACTTTATGAGATTGTTGTCTGTGTTACTTCGTTTAGTGGCTTCTTGTGAACTGAGAAAGGACGTATTTAGTGAGCCCGAAGATGATTCAGTTAGAGATGTTTTCAATGAATCACCATTCTGCTACAACAACAAAATTCCAGTATTAGTATAATATGCAATTTTATACCTTGTTAAAGCAATTATCTTTGACCTTTGACCAAGACTTAGTGTCATCATTTTCTTCATCTTTAGCATACTCGCGTAGGAACTTCGAAAATCTGTCAGACAGTGGTGAGATGTTGTTAAATGCTTGATGAGAGCGATTAACTGTTCCGTTTTTCCGTGAGACTAATAAAAACTTACATATGTCATCTTGTGAACAAAACGAACTCATTCCCACGATTACAGAAAATACTTTTGAATAGCCGCACGTAGTGGAGATACAAACATACTCAAAATTGATGGAATCTATCGTAGCATTTATTATTTTTTGAACGAGGTTTTCTCAGAGTGGACTTATGCGCTGAAGGTTTAAAACTATAGACAGCACTAGAAGGATATACGAAGGTATTACAGCACTTAAATCGCTAGATGTTCAAATGGTTGTGGAGAGAATGAAAGAAGATTTCTCTTAACGGGCTTCCGTGTCTAGTAGCAGTGGAACACTGACACCTACATGCAAGAACCTAGGTATATTAATGATAATAGAGGAAAAAGTAATAGGTAAATCACAGTAAGATATTATCCTTAGTCATTAATAATAGGTCAAGTTTCCTCTTAAAAGAATCCTGGTAAGTCACTTGGACTTGCTTAGCCGGCAGCGAATTCCAGCATTTGGCTACTCTTAAGGAGTATAAGTTGTGTCTGCAGTCCGTTATGCTGTGCTGCCCCTAGTTTCTGGGTTTGTGTTGGAGCTAAACTTAAGTAGGTGTTGCGTAGCAGTTTCACTTTGTAAAGGACAGGAGGTCAGTCGGCCTGTGTTAGTCCTGGCAGTGATGGTCTTTCACTTGATACAACTTTTTTTTAAAAGAGTCGACAAATGGAGCTCCAATCACGTGTTGAAATAATGAATTCCATTTGTCGATGGTTCGATGGGAAGTTCAGTAATCAGCTGACAAGTAATTTGTTCTAGGCTTGAAGGCTATTTAGCAATGTTCTTGCAAATTCTCTGTTTTGGAAGGCAAGAAGCGAGAAGGTATATCAGATGCAAGTTTATCACTAAGTAATGTAAAATCTGTGATCAATTCGCCTCTGGTACTTCTATACGACAACCGAAATAGGTTGAGTTCAGCCAGTTGAGCATCATTTAAGAGCTGTGCTAATCCGGGAATCGACTTAGTTGCGGTTCTTTGAACGTTATTCTACTGCCCACTGTCAGATTTTAGGCAGGGACTAGCCGTTTTTATGCAGTACTGGAGTTTAGGACGAACTAATACTCTATACGAAGTCGAAAAAGTTTTATCATCGGCATGATTAACGGCCATGTGTATTGACCATAAGATTCTAAAACCTTTGGCGACTGTTGAACGGCAATGTGCATTAGTTATTAAGTATTGGTTAACGAGGACTTCTAATTCATTATGTCTGGAAAATTGTTGTTAACCGTGTATATCTGTACTTCGATGACCATTATGCATCATAATGGATTTTGAAGCATCTACGGGCAACTTCCAAATTTAAGACTTATAAGATAATTTTTTCAGGTCATTTCAAAGCTCCAAACTATTACCTTTACCCTTTATCGCTCCCCATATCTTGACATCGTCAGTACATGACAAAACCAATGATGTTAGGACTAGTTTTAGGATACTCAAGATTTCCCACAATTGTTATCCACTAGTCATGTATTACTACTGTCTCCGTATAATGATGGAACATTTCTTCTCTTCTTAGCCCTTTGGTTTATATACGCGCATAAGCGTTCAGAGTATTCCATAGATTCTTTACCAACTTTTTCTTCGTAAAACCTTTTGGACTTGCGGAGTGGTGAAGTATTCCGAGCTTCACGATATTGGTCACTACCCAGTAACCTGAATTTCTCCCACATTCTGCCCTTACGGAGTGATATGCAGGCCTCTCTAATGAACTGAAGTGGGGATTTTCGCAGTCACTATTTGGAGGACTAGCTTTTCTTTAACAACATTGAGTTGTTTTTTCTTCTTGGACTGCACCTATTCATCAACTAAAATTAGAGAAGCAATCACAGACAAGTCACACACACACTTTGGGATCCTGGATGATCATTGATGACTTGAGTTTTAAGGTTGTTGTTTGCCGTGCTAGAGGCAGGCGTTGCTTTGATACTAGGTTTTTTAAAGCGTTTTCTTTCTCTCTGAAATTTTCAATGCAAGTACAGAAGAAAAACGTCTTTTCGTGGGTTTGCGTTTCTAACAGGCCTCTATATTGGCAGTCAGTTATAACGTTCAATTTTACTTTGTCTAATTTTATAACGGTTGGGTTTCCACGCTTACACGTATAGGACCTCAATTTACCTTAAACGATTATTTACACTAGATTCCTCTCACCCGGTGTCCATTCTACAGGACGTCAACGCAACTGAGATCAAGAACACGTGATTAGCTTGACCACAACGTAAATATATTTCCACACTAAAACCCGACACAATCCGACAACAATGAACAATCAATAATAAGTGAGTCGTAATAATAACAATAATAATAATAATAAGGACAGGGGAATATATCACTCATTTGACACCTGTCAGACTATCTACATGTCTGATTAAGCAGACAACCAATCATTATCATTCTCGCCAACACATCAACTACCTACCGAAGATGTTCGCATTACTGAAGGTCTTAACTGTATCATTTAACACTGTGTATTAGTCTACGTCACAGGATTGGAAACAAGCCACTCACCTTTTCTCTAGATCTTTAAACTCGTTTGCCAAACATTCAAAGTCATCCTCCATTTTCTTCATGAATGAATGAATGCTAGTATTAACGGTATTGTTTTCATCTGTTTCAAGTAAGCAAGTTTCTTTCAACGATAAAATGGAGTTATCAATCTGATTTTCCTGTAAAATATTTGAAACAATCTCAGGAATACTCGAAAAAACCTGGAAAATAGAAATTCGACCATGTTTGCGGAAAGAGTGCAGTCAGCATTCGTCGTGTAGCATATATTTACTGAACGCGTCTCTTATTTTAAAATAAATAAAGTATCACCTACTTGCCCAGATTTTGATACAACTATACAGTCTACAAATTTTTATAGACGTCTGAAAACATAAACCTCATAAAAGTAGAAATTTTTATTTATGACTCAGTTACTTTTTAGGAATCATGATTCAGTCATAGGGATGAAGCTACTGGCTGCCAAGATCTCTAGACCTAAATGGGTTATATGTTGGTATTAGTTTCCAAGGAATATCTACAGTTTTACGAGTAGTGATGCCTCTAATAATGTTTAAATCAGCATCGGAATTAGTGCTGTTACCGATGAGACAACTGAATTTCTATAGAACTAAATAATTATACTAACTGATTACTGGCTAGTAGCTAGTGTCAAGTGTTGATTGACACGGTAAGCTAATCAGAAGTAGATTGATAAGAAGTTCAATCGATGGCAATCAGAAGTAACCTGAAGGACAAGTGCATTTCATTAGCTAAGAAATCGATTGATTTCCTATGAGGTGGAGTTGCGTATACATAAATGAGTATTTGTACACTTTATGTGGTAGCCCAGTATATTTTTTCGCCCACTTTTGTGCTTTTCCTCAGGCAGTCAGTTGAGGGGATTAGTGTGTAGCACGCCGTGTATCAGTGTTATATTTTAGATACCGCTCGTCACGACATTAATCAGATTCTATCGGCCATGATGCATCGTTGCCGCTTGCTCGAGTAACCTGTTATCGCTGCCTGTATGCAAAGTTCAGTTTTCTACCCATCCTGTTTTCATTGGTGCTAAAACCAATGATCGTACAGCCCGGTGCATGGTATCTTATACAGAAATAAATAATGTATGACCTGGCATAGGCAATCATAGTCTTGAGTTGCCTCACCACAGTGAAGTCAAGGTGATAAGAAGTATAGCAGAGAAATGGCAATAATTATATTGTCAATGATATGATACTCCAATCATTTACAAAGTACCTCTGTTTAAAGCCTTTAATATGTCTGTAAACATCTTGATAATACCAATGTCCTACAAATAATCTTAGAATACAGACTAAATGGATAAATGAAGATCAAGCAGCTGATGAAGAAGCCATGACATTCCTGAGTAGAGGTTGAATGGTGAAATCAATGAGTCAGTGCCTTAGTATTTTTAGACGTCCCTCGTTGTATGTAGTTACTCGATAGATCAGTAAGACCCTAAATTTAATGTACTAAGCCCAAATGACTTAAAAGCCATAATAAATTTTGTTTATGCATAACATGTTTCTATCTTAACTAGTAGTCACCATAGTCTAATAATATACCAAATTCTAGAAGCTAACCTATTTCAACGGAATCATAAAAGGCTTGCAAATGTAAATCAAGCTCTTGAGTATGAATGAGTTTATTCGGAAACAAAGTTTTTTCTAATGCTTTAAGTAATTTAAATATCTAGAGAATAATTTGATGAGAAATAGTAAGTAAGATCAGTTATTACATCAGCGTGAAAAAAACTGTATATTATATTCGTTATCTAGACAGTTAAAGCACTTTTATCTACAATTTAGTGGGATCAGAAAGGGTTTACATTGTTTGATCAATAAAAAAAGATGAAAGTACTTTACATACGCTGATGGTATTTGAATACACCAAAATAAATGTTTACATATCACGAATAAGTTAGACGCTTTAACACCTGAGGCGTAACAAAACTAATGAGGCTAGGTACAAAAATTGCGGATTACGGAAATGGGTTAGTTTGAACTTATTTTCAACTTATTAAAAAGGTTGCCACCAATAATTATCTGCTTAAATGATGACACTAAACTCTAATTAAAGATCGGAACTATGATGACGTTTTATGTAGTGTAGTGACAAGCGGTAATATTAAGTTTATATTCATTTCTAAGCGAGTAAACTTAAGCTAGGCTGATTTCAGAAATAGTTTTCTAAGGAATATCATTACCTTTGGGTATGTATTTTTAACTCCAGGTGATCGGCAAACAATTTGATTGTGCATTATTTCCTTACTCCTTGGCAAATTAGGTCCGAGCCAAATCAATAAAGATTCTAGTTCTTTTTTCACTGTTTCGCGGACTTGATCATCCAGCCCTTTTAGGAAAGTCGTTCAAAATAACATACATCTGACATAGAAATTTCACATTATGAAAAAATATTGCACATTATTTCATTCAGGTTTATTTTATTCTGATATTTGAAATGCTTTTATATGTCTCAGATTTGTGTTTAACAACAATTAAAAATCTGTTCACTTTGTTGCGGAGTCGAAATGTTTAAAAAATGGGTATTATTCCGTTTAGATTATGTTAAGGTTGACCGAGCAAGACAAGAACAGTCTTCGATATTAGTCAGCATTAATTGCAACTTTAAACAAGTTAAATATTAAACAATATGGCAGCAAAATTCAGCACCCAGTTTATGGTCAAGTTTTAACTCACTAGTAAGTTACTATTTACTAGCAAAGCAAAAACACTTTGAGCTGGGATATTTTCTGTTTTCTTATTTTATCTTTATAGTGTTACAAAAGATAATTTACCAAGCATGTACACAAACACAATAGACTTCTGTACAGCTTTCTTTGAATGCTTTTCTACTGAGTGATTCATTTATATAAAAAATGTGTTAGAAAGGTGTATGGACAAAGTATGCTGATTTTTCAATTGCACATTGTTTCAAATGGCACACATTTGTAGTTTTACACGCGTCCATATTGAAAGATGTTACTGGTTAGTGTGTTGTCAAAACTCCAAATACCTGTGGCATCTTTACCCTCATCTCTGAAAAAATCTGTAATTATTATAAACAAAGTTTTTCTAAAAATTTTATTAACTTTATCAATAAGAAATCATGGTACGTGTGATATCTATAATAAGTAGTAAATGCCTAAATGTATCCCCGTAAGTAGATCTATGATGTCAGAAACATACAAACTTTAAGTTCATCTACCAAAATATTGATAAATGAAGACACTCAGGACTTCATTCAAATTGTGTAAGTAGCTTGCAACATATTTCCAGGCAATCGATTCCATGTTCTAAGTGAAGGTGTATAAGAAATTATATAAATTATATGGAAATGATGATTTACCTGTGAAGAGTATATCTAATCTAATTCACCTTTCTGACATCCCCATGAAAAGAAAGAACTAGACAATTATAAATATTTTTTCTATTTATAAAATAAGATTCCTTAAGAATGTGTCACATTTTTCATAGCCTATAAAAACAAAGCAAAGATGCGAAAACCTACATTGGTAAAGTAATACGGATATCGGCAGATGAAGTTTGAAACGTGGACTTCTAAAATGAATTATTCGAAACAGAATATCTCTTTTGTAATCATTTAAAGAATGTGTATGATGGTTTATTTCGGATTGAATATATAAATTAGTGTATTGTTTTACATGCCTGTCGTTAACAGTCACGTGTTCAAAAGTTCTTAAGAACTATAACAACACGTTGCCCATGCTATGATCGTAGTTTGCAGTGAATTCAAATATATGGATTGTTGTGGACTGCCCATACAATTTAATTTAAACATTTAAAGAAGTGCTAATTCATGTTTTTTCATTCTTATTTGCTTAGGAGCCCCATACATATGCTTTAATCTAAACTTCTCATACGAAAAATACCTATAGGTTAGACACAAACCTATTAATAAATGTTGGAAAGTTATACTCATCGATTCTACAGTAATTGACAAGAAATAATGATAAATAGAGTTTTTAAGACAAGCTGTATGGCATGCTATGCTTACCCTCTATCTCAGAAGCATTGAATTTCAGCAGGAAGTCAACCTGTAGTAATTGTCACAAAAGCACGGATTGTTACCTGTGATCTTAACAGCTTAAGATTGTTACGAATGAGAGTACACTGGTTTCTAAGCTCATAAAATTAAGCCTTTAGGTGTTACTTTATGAGATTGTTGTCTGTGTTACTTCGTTTAGTGGCTTCTTGTGAACTGAGAAAGGACGTATTTAGTGAGCCCGAAGATGATTCAGTTAGAGATGTTTTCAATGAATCACCATTCTGTTACAACAACAAAATTCCAGTATTAGTATAATATGCAATTTTATACCTTGTTAGAGCAATTATCTTTGACCTTTGACCAAGACTTAGTGTCATCATTTTCTTCATCTTTAGCATACTCGCGTAGGAACTTCGAAAATCTGTCAGACAGTGGTGAGATGTTGTTAAATGCTTGATGAGAGCGATTAACTGTTCCGTTTTTCCGTGAGACTAATAAAAACTTACATATGTCATCTTGTGAACAAAACGAACTCATTCCCACGATTACAGAAAATACTTTTGAATAGCCGCACGTAGTGGAGATACAAACATACTCAAAATTGATGGAATCTATCGTAGCATTTATTATTTTTTGAACGAGGTTTTCTCAGAGTGGACTTATGCGCTGAAGGTTTAAAACTATAGACAGCACTAGAAGGATATACGAAGGTATTACAGCACTTAAATCGCTAGATGTTCAAATGGTTGTGGAGAGAATGAAAGAAGATTTCTCTTAACGGGCTTCCGTGTCTAGTAGCAGTGGAACACTGACACCTACATGCAAGAACCTAGGTATATTAATGATAATAGAGGAAAAAGTAATAGGTAAATCACAGTAAGATATTATCCTTAGTCATTAATAATAGGTCAAGTTTCCTCTTAAAAGAATCCTGGTAAGTCACTTGGACTTGCTTAGCCGGCAGCGAATTCCAGCATTTGGCTACTCTTAAGGAGTATAAGTTGTGTCTGCAGTCCGTTATGCTGTGCTGCCCCTAGTTTCTGGGTTTGTGTTGGAGCTAAACTTAAGTAGGTGTTGCGTAGCAGTTTCACTTTGTAAAGGACAGGAGGTCAGTCGGCCTGTGTTAGTCCTGGCAGTGATGGTCTTTCACTTGATACAACTTTTTTTTAAAAGAGTCGACAAATGGAGCTCCAATCACGTGTTGAAATAATGAATTCCATTTGTCGATGGTTCGATGGGAAGTTCAGTAATCAGCTGACAAGTAATTTGTTCTAGGCTTGAAGGCTATTTAGCAATGTTCTTGCAAATTCTCTGTTTTGGAAGGCAAGAAGCGAGAAGGTATATCAGATGCAAGTTTATCACTAAGTAATGTAAAATCTGTGATCAATTCGCCTCTGGTACTTCTATACGACAACCGAAATAGGTTGAGTTCAGCCAGTTGAGCATCATTTAAGAGCTGTGCTAATCCGGGAATCGACTTAGTTGCGGTTCTTTGAACGTTATTCTACTGCCCACTGTCAGATTTTAGGCAGGGACTAGCCGTTTTTATGCAGTACTGGAGTTTAGGACGAACTAGTACTCTATACGAAGTCGAAAAAGTTTTATCATCGGCATGATTAACGGCCATGTGTATTGACCATAAGATTCTAAAACCTTTGGCGACTGTTGAACGGCAATGTGCATTAGTTATTAAGTATTGGTTAACGAGGACTTCTAATTCATTATGTCTGGAAAATTGTTGTTAACCGTGTATATCTGTACTTCGATGACCATTATGCATCATAATGGATTTTGAAGCATCTACGGGCAACTTCCAAATTTAAGACTTATAAGATAATTTTTTCAGGTCATTTCAAAGCTCCAAACTATTACCTTTACCCTTTATCGCTCCCCATATCTTGACATCGTCAGTACATGACAAAACCAATGATGTTAGGACTAGTTTTAGGATACTCAAGATTTCCCACAATTGTTATCCACTAGTCATGTATTACTACTGTCTCCGTATAATGATGGAACATTTCTTCTCTTCTTAGCCCTTTGGTTTATATACGCGCATAAGCGTTCAGAGTATTCCATAGATTCTTTACCAACTTTTTCTTCGTAAAACCTTTTGGACTTGCGGAGTGGTGAAGTATTCCGAGCTTCACGATATTGGTCACTACCCAGTAACCTGAATTTCTCCCACATTCTGCTCTTACGGAGTGATATGCAGGCCTCTCTAATGAACTGAAGTGGGGATTTTCGCAGTCACTATTTGGAGGACTAGCTTTTCTTTAACAACATTGAGTTGTTTTTTCTTCTTGGACTGCACCTATTCATCAACTAAAATTAGAGAAGCAATCACAGACAAGTCACACACACACTTTGGGATCCTGGATGATCATTGATGACTTGAGTTTTAAGGTTGTTGTTTGCCGTGCTAGAGGCAGGCGTTGCTTTGATACTAGGTTTTTTAAAGCGTTTTCTTTCTCTCTGAAATTTTCAATGCAAGTACAGAAGAAAAACGTCTTTTCGTGGGTTTGCGTTTCTAACAGGCCTCTATATTGGCAGTCAGTTATAACGTTCAATTTTACTTTGTCTAATTTTATAACGGTTGGGTTTCCACGCTTACACGTATAGGACCTCAATTTACCTTAAACGATTATTTACACTAGATTCCTCTCACCCGGTGTCCATTCTACAGGACGTCAACGCAACTGAGATCAAGAACACGTGATTAGCTTGACCACAACGTAAATATATTTCCACACTAAAACCCGACACAATCCGACAACAATGAACAATCAATAATAAGTGAGTCGTAATAATAACAATAATAATAATAATAAGGACAGGGGAATATATCACTCATTTGACACCTGTCAGACTATCTACATGTCTGATTAAGCAGACAACCAATCATTATCATTCTCGCCAACACATCAACTACCTACCGAAGATGTTCGCATTACTGAAGGTCTTAACTGTATCATTTAACACTGTGTATTAGTCTACGTCACAGGATTGGAAACAAGCCACTCACCTTTTCTCTAGATCTTTAAACTCGTTTGCCAAACATTCAAAGTCATCCTCCATTTTCTTCATGAATGAATGAATGCTAGTATTAACGGTATTGTTTTCATCTGTTTCAAGTAAGCAAGTTTCTTTCAACGATAAAATGGAGTTATCAATCTGATTTTCCTGTAAAATATTTGAAACAATCTCAGGAATACTCGAAAAAACCTGGAAAATAGAAATTCGACCATGTTT